GAGCAAATTATATACAATTAATTAGAATTTCTCTATAACTCGAATAAAATATTGTCAGATGTCAATGGGTATATGCGAAAGTGCAATTTATAAATCGAATAAGTATTGAAAGAATTAAAAATGTAAAAGAATAAAGCGTTGGCATAAAGTCACAGTGATAATAGACTAAAGCAATTGTTCTCAATCCATGTTCCAAGGAATACTATTCTATACTAAGAAGTCATATAAAGAGTTTGAAAAAAAAAAAAAAATAATCACTTTAAGTTTTTGAACCTTCACAAAGGACTGTTTTATAATTTTATAGTTTGTATTTGTGATTTATTTTATAAAATTTATTTCTATAAAAAGTAAATCAATAAGTTAAAGTAAAATAAATTGAAAATAACGCAGTGACATTGTTTGAAATATACATAACCTCAGAGGCTTGAGAAACTGAAGACCCCTTGCAATATAAATCGATAGACTATATATAGGTATGTATGTAATGGTAAGCTTAACTGGTTGAGAATAGAGTGGTAAGTAGAGTAATTGTATGTGGTGTTGCGTTTGGTTCACTGACCGGGTTTTCATAATATTACATTAATTCTAATAATAAGAAATTCTAAAAACGAACACTTCTAATATAAAATAATTCTAATAAGAAAAAATACTAGTAAAGAGAGAAAAAAATTTTTAAATATAAATTCTTTATAGATACATCATTGCTGTTTAATAAGATAAAAATTTTTTATATTACTGTAAATACATATATGTAAATATCTGAAAGTCCCACCCTCTCCGTAGTACATTTTTGATTACAGACCTATAAGCAGCAGTCAACACTTTGAAGCACTACTATTAACACTTCATATAAAATCTTCTTTATTTATTAAATTATTTATTGCGCTACATAACGCTATATAACAATAACCACACCACACCATATATGTAAACTGAACCACAAATCTGTGAGTTCAAAGTCACCTAAGTATTGAAACATTTTGGTTATTCCGCATGTTATTCATTAAAGAGTCCCACCTACCGAATATTAAAAATTCCGATAAAAAATGATATAAAATACCACAATTGCATAAACAAAAACAAAAACTCATCTTTTTATTTAAATATTAACATATTGACATGTATGGTATGTACATAGAAATTTGCGCTAAAATTGCGTTGAAATTGTTACATGTATGACCGCTTATATATGCAGGCCTATAGCTTATAGTTAATAAACTATAGCAAATATGTACATATATATATATATATATATATGAGTATATGAATAATATACAAACTTACAAAAAAAACCATACAAAAGTAAAAGTTTGTCGTCAAACACCTTTTGTCAAAATAACCTGCCAAATGGACTATCGTCCATGCGTTTACTGGAGATATTGGGCTGAAGTTGGCTATGTCATACTGTCAAAAGGTTATTAAACTTGTAAGCAAACTGTAAAAGTTTTTGAAACATACAAAATTTTGTATTTTATTTAAAAAATATCTAATTTATGCACAAGCGTGAATTGGTTTTTGCTACTTTTTTATGGAGTCGTCTATGTAGTATCAATAGTTTTAGTTGTGTGCCTTCACGAAATCTACTTTTTGCGATTTTTTTCTTCATACCTTAGTAGTATTATCAAAGCTACTAAGGTAACCTAAATATTATTAAAATAAAAAAATTTTAAGTTTGTTGCTTTAACCTTTTATTTCAACTTATAAATAGCAAAATAAATATTTTGTTTAATCGATTTTACTACGACCTTGTAAAGTTACAACGTAAATATAATATATTTCCATAGACTATAGACCCGGCAACGACAATTTCGGTCATTACACATGTAAATTAAGGAGTAAGTTCATGGCAAAATAATATATAATATTTCTTTCGTGATACTTAAATTGCGTCTTTGGAGTATTTACCATATAAGACGTTTAATTTTGCAGATATTTTTGATAACTAATAAAAATCATAATTTTTAATTTTATTATAGCATTATAACCTACATGAAAAACATGAAATCTAAATATTTTAATTTAATATTTATTATTTAATACAAAAAGGTATTTAAAAATTATTTAAATAATGGTCAAAATTATAAATAAACTGGCTTATACATATATTTTTATTTATTAAATAAAACTTAATTGAAATTTATTTTTTTTTTATTTATTTAACCATTTATTTATTATTTTATTTTGTTTATAATTACAAATTATATTATACCACATAAAAATTAATTCGAAATTTAATATTTTTTTATGTATTGATTTATATATTATTTTAATACTTATTTATTTACATAACCATTTGTTAATATAACTATTTATTTATTAATATAATTAATTATTTATTAATATAATTATTTATTTATTTATATATAAATAATATTAACACAAATACACATATATATATATTTGTTATTAATTGTTAAATAAAATTTACTTGATACTTAAAATTTTTTTTGTTGGTTTATTTATTATTTTTTTTATATAATTACTTAGTTATTTTTATAACTATTTATTTATTTATATAATATATTTATTTATATTTTTAATATTTATTTGTATACCTCTTAATTTATTTGTATAAATATTTATTCATAAAAATTTTATAATTATTTATATACTTATTAAGTAATTTATTCATTTAATTTATTAAATAAACTAATTTATATATTAGTTTATTAATATAATTATTTGTATAATTATTTAATTATTTGTTTAATTGTTAATATAATTTTATCATTTATTTATTAAAGTGTTTTTGCAGCCTAATTGGTAGAATTTTATTGTTGTTAAAAAAAAATTAGAAAAAAGGATCCAGGATAATTTTACAATAATTCTGACTTCATCGATATTTCGACTTAAGTCTAAAGTCACCACCAGGACCTAAATATTATATTAAAATGCTAATCAACATATTATAATTTATTTATTTATTTGACTTATTTAGTTATTCTATTCTCTCACTTATTTTAATTGTTATTTCATTTTTATTTTATTTTTTGTTATTTTTTTATTTTATTTTTTATTATTTTTTTTTATTTTATTCTTTATTGTTGTTTTTATTTTATTTTTTATTATTTTTTTATTTAAATGTTTTTAACTTTTTTTTATTTTTTATTATATAGAATCAGTATTCGTAAGTGGCATTTATATAAAATAAATAAATATATTTTTTATTTGTTTTTCTTTTATTTTCTTTATTATATGGATTCAGTATTTGCAAGTGACGTTTATTTAATTGAAGAAAATAAAAATATGTTTTTTATATGCTTTTATATTTTTTTTATTATATAGAATCAGTATTTGTAACAGAAATTTATATACTTCTTTAAATATAAATATAGCAGCCTAATTTATGTGAAAAGATTTTTACATCTTAAGGTATTTTCCACTAATTTTTTTAAATTTACTGATTTAGTACTTATACTAATAGTAATACTAATATTAATAGTAATACTAATACTAATAGAAAAACTTTTATCGAAAACTTATTATTTGAAATTATTGCGAGTAGAAAATCACTAAATAATTTTGCTATATCAAAATAAATGCAAAATCAAAGAAATATTTTTAAAATTCAAATTTAAACATTTTAAAAAAAGTGACTAAAAATTCAATAAAAAAAATATAAAACAAAGAATTTATTTTAACAAAATTAAATTGAAATTATTTTGGCATTAAATATAAAACAAAGTAAAAAATTCAAAGGAAAACCTTGCCGTTGCTGACGTAAAAGCAGACAACACACATAAAAAATTCAAAACTGTTATTTTTAAATATACATATAAACAATTTTCTTTTTAAATATAAACATTTATAATATATAATATATATCTCATTTGGTTGTTTTATTTTCTATGAAAGCAACAAACAACATTTGGCTATTTGCTTATAACAAAAATTCGCTAGAAATACACACATTTTTTTTTTTTTGGATATATTTCCAATTTCTTTAAGACCAACTGACTGCTGTGAGGCGAGAAAAACCGACGCACCAAATACACATCACACACAAACCTATGAGGTATATGGAGACCCGCGTACGTAAAACCACACAACGACAACTAAGCGGAAAATTTCATTTGGCATAAATTAATTTTAAATTCTATTAACGAACAAATTCTGGCGAAATATTTTCAATAGAAATTTGTACAGATGCACCGAAGACTCTCGAATAAATATATATATATACAATATATAGTGACCATATGTATTTATATCTCTTTACATATATTTTTATTTCGAAATGCCTTCAAAATTTTTACGATTCTTACGATATTTACGTGGCTAAATAGACAAGAGTCTATGCCCATGGCTAGCCAAGCGTCGGGACGTCGACTTCGGAATGGCGCAAATAATGTATATTTAAACACACATAGCAGATGAGTTTAATTTTAAAATCTGGCACTAGACCTATAAATTTTTGTTAAAAAAACCAAATGTCTGTATGGGCGTAGACAATTTTACTATCGCCTTTATATTAAATATTTTGGCAAATCTGCCAAAATATATTTTTGCCGCAGCCGATTTTAATAGACGTGTTGCTGCTGTTGCATATGAGATGCATATTTAATTCTTTGCTTCATTAACTTGCATTTGCCTTTATAAAGCAAGAACTTAAATTGCAAAAATTTCTGTAGTACGCGATTTAGTCAAGGTTCATTTAGACATAATGAGGTTTGTTCAAATCAATTAAATAAGACAATTATAAGGCACTCTAAAATCCTCACTCGACAGTGTTAATTTTATAAACATATTATATAGATCTGATCTGGCAAGAATTATAATTATAATTGTTATATTTATATTGTCATATGTTGAAGAAAACTGAAAAACAAGGTAATAATCTTATATTAAATTTCTTTGGAAATAGGGAAAACCAACTTGGATATATTCTTCAAGAATAGTGATTATTCGATATCATAAGCTTTCTTTAAAAATTTTTCGGGGTTTTTAATAAAATATTTTCTTTTTATTATGTAAAAAAGATGTTAAATAAAAGAACTTACCATCATAGTTACGTATTTCCAAATCGGATGGTAAACGAGCACAACTTAAGTAGGAGACAGTTTTATCATTGGACCTGTGACCATATAAACGATGTGCTTCATTTATTTCGGATGCACTTATTTTTATAGTTAACGCACGTACACATTGCTCCTCTCCCGAAATGCAAGAGAGATGCAATGCCGTATTACCGTGACGATCACGTATGGTTGGCTACAAAGACAGAGATAGAAGCAAATCGAAAATTATAATTTTATTTATTTATATATACATATATATTATAACAAAATAAATAAACTGAAGTTGAAGTAAGTTTTACTATAAAACAATAGATATATACATATTTGTTTTTATAAAAAGATATCTGATTTTACAAATTAACCATCTTTAAACAAAATTGAAATAAGCTTAACGCAGAAAATATAATATAAATTTTATATTATATATAATATTTAGTATAACATTTAATATACTATTTAGTATTAAATTTAATTGCTCCTTTTATTTAGATTTATTTAAAGCTGGATATATTATTTTGATTAATATTTAATATAATATTGAATATAAATTATAATATTATATCAAATATTATATTTAATATTATATAAAATATTACATTTAATATAATATAAAATATTAAATATAAGATAATATAAATTACTATATTTAATACCATATAAAATATTGTGTTTAATATAATATTAAATTACATATTAATAAACCACAATTACTGCTTTTATTGAAATCTATCTGAAGCTGTGAAATATTTTACTAAGGTACTGTATACTATATCAAGAAATCATACCCTATTCACAAAGCAAAAGTTAATTAAGATTCAGACAAGGATATCGGGATCTTGTTATTCACACAGCGTTTTTACTAGTTATAATCAGCAAGCAATTCTTTACGTGAATGGGTAAGAAATTTAGAAAAGAAGGGGTTTATATCAAAAAATAAAAACGGAAATAGACTTCAGAACTTACTTTTGGTAAATAACAACAACTTAATTAAGATCAGCTGTTAATGAAAACTAATTAATGTCATGTGAATAAACTGTAAGGCTGTTAAACAAAATTTATATTACAAGAAATGTTGAGGAGAAACATTCAAAATGGTTTTGAATCTATTCATTTTAAATATTGATTTTAATATAAGTTAGTTTTATCTTTTTTTTGCGAAAATGAATACACATTGCGAATACTTACGTCAGCTCCAGCTATTAATAACATGCGTAAAATTTTTGGTTGAGCTGTAAGGGCAGCGAGATGTAAAGGCGTTTGTGATAGATCATTTTTTATATTAAACAGGCACGGATGTGGAGCCATGCGTATGAGGGCAGCTACAACACCGACATATCCATGAATGCATGCCAAATGCAATGTTCTAAAAATATATCGAAAAAATACAATTTTATTTCATATTTTGTTAAATAAAATAAAATATTCTATACACATAATGTATTCTAAGATAATATATTATAAGAATTTCTATAACAATAACTAAACAAAAATATATATATTATAAATAAATATAAGATATCTATTATAAATATAAATAAATATATATTAATTAAAATGTAGGTTATATATATATATATGTATAATAAACACGACAGCAACATATTTTGTCAGCTTACAATACTACAACATCACACATACATGCCTATAAGTACATAAGACAGGTATCTTAAACAACAGAGAGGACCATTTCATATATCCATCAAATCAATTTTTATTCACCTGTTTTTCGGAAAATCCATTTGTGCAAAACAAAAAAAACGTTTAAATACATGTACACCTGTAGTAAATCTGTAACCTTATGTATCTTGCCCTATTGTAATATGTTTAATCCTTACCTGTCTACAGTGTAAGCACCTGCAACGCCTTCACACAGGTATTTTCGGTATTTTCCCAAAATTGAAAATTGCAACATTGATACCAGTGCAAGGAAGCAAATTTAAGAAAGAGATTTTAAGTGAATTTTCATTTTGGACAGTGAGGGAAAATTCTAATAAAAAAATTGGTAACAACAACTGCATTTAGATGGTTATAGGTCTTTAACTATTTGTAGTTTCAAACAGGCTATTAATAAAATATACAAATACACAACGAAGAATTATGGAATAAATATGTAAATTTTAAGGATAAATTCACTTTCTATTTACAAGTCAAGACGTCTTGAGCGAAAGAAATGGAATTTTTAGATTATTCATACTGAACTAAAACATTGTTAAATCTTTAGTATCTAACTATATCATAGATACTAAACCTATCAGTTGCAAATAATAGTCTCTGAAGTTAAGGCTTTGTAAATAGTTTCAAAATTAAATTTGATCTTTTATATTGTTTTATTTTTATATTTATCATTTACAACTTAAGGGCTTATTAGCATAAAAATGATATTAATATATAGAAAGTTGTAAAGGAAAAGGCATATTTATGTGCATATTTATTTTTTAATAAAGAATTTATTCACATTTTTATTTATTTATACATTTATTTATATATTTATATATTAATTTATAAATTTTATTTTATTACTTCATTTATTATTCATTTATTAATTTATTTATTCATATATTTATTGATTTATTTATTGATTTATTTATTAGTTTATTTATTAATTTATTTATTTATTTATTTTATTTATTTATTGTCTTTCTTATTAATTTATTTATTAACTTACTTATTAATTTATTTAGTTACTTATTTATTAATTTATTTAAATATTTATTTATTAATTCATTTTTTAATTAATTTACTAATTTATTTCATTTTTGTGTATTACTTATTATTTTTTATTAACTTATATATTCAAAACTTATTTTATTTAATTATTAACTTATTTTTTAATTTATTTATTTATTAATTTATTTTTTATTTTATAATATTTATTTATTGTCTTGCTTATTAATTTCTTTATTAACTTACTTATTATTTTATTTAGTTACTTATTTATTAATTTATTTAAATAATTATTTATTAATTTATTTAAATAATTATTTATTAATTTATTTATTAATTTATTTATTAATTCATTTTTTAATTAATTTACTAATTTATTTATTAATTTGTTTAATTTTTGTGTATTACTTATTTTTTTTATTAACTTATTTACTTAAAACTTATTTTATTTAGTTATTAACTTATCTTTTAATATATTTATATATTAATTTATTTATTTTATTTTATTTATTTTTTGTCTTGCTTATTAATTTCTTTATTACTTTATATTTTAATTCATTAATTTTTTTATTAATATTTTATTTATTTATAAATCAGATAATGTATTTGTTTATTAATTAATTATTTTTATTTTTTATTAAGTTTTCATTCATTTATATATTAATTAATTATTAATTTATTTATTCATACATTATTTAATTAATTTATTTATTTGTTTATTAATTAATTAATTTATTTATTTAATAATTATATTATTTTTTAATATATATATTTAATCAATTTGATTTCAACTAAGTAAAAACTGAAAACTTGACATTCAATGAAGGAATTAGACCAGCTATAATTAAAAACCTTCATCACATCTATTCAGCTTTTAAAAAGCAATATTATTTATAAATCCTTAAAATTAAAACAAAATAAGGGGATTTAGATATATATATGTGACTAATAAATAATAGCATTCGGCATTTTATCTAATTCAATAAAAAAAAAAATATCTGCTCATATTTACTGAGTAACTATATATATATAGCTATCTTATATTGCAAACGTATTGTTAATATCCATTATACATGAATTACAGGTAAATTAAAACTACAGCATTATTAATTTTTCATTAGGAATCTTAATTTATATCTTAATTTGGAATGGCATTTATAAGGAAATGCATACTGTACGCATCACTCAATCCTGCACTTATCAATTGATTTCTGATTAAGTAAGTCTCACGTTATGGTTTTTACTTAATATTTGAGTAATATATAATTAATCACTGAAAATGATTTAAATGATAGGAAGTGAATATCAGCTTTTAAGAACTACAACATCGAACTTATGAGTAAGCAGGCTTTAGGTTATTGGGTTAAACCGAAACTGAATCATTTTGTGTTAGTAGCACATTTCGCAGAAAATTCATTTTAAGGGTTTTGAAGTTTATGGTTAGATGATAAAGTTTAATTGGCTCAGATGAGACAAACAACATATTTTATTAAAATATGTACTTTCCAAAATTTTGAAAATCACTTTCAAAAAAAAGCAGCTCACAATGTTCGACAAATTTTGTCAAATTTTGTAAATTTTTTGATAATTTTAAAAGCAGACAGATTTTTTTTTTAAAACCAAATTTTGTAGAAAATTTATAAGTATCTATTATTTTATTTTTATCTATTATTTATTTTAATCTGTTCATTACTTTAAGTATATTTTATATCATTTTTGAAAAATCTTTTCAAAGCTGTAAGTATTTTTTTATTTAATTTTATTTAAAATTTAATTTAATCTTAAATAAAATTCCTAATAACTTATTGTAAAGTTCAATGTGAAGTAACTAATTTTTTTTCTTTTAAATATGTAAGTTTTCTAATAGAACTATTCCAAGATTAACTACAACTGTAACTACAACTCCTAACTAAATTTACACTTATTGACTTTTAACTATATTTGATTAAGATAACTACTTAAATGCTTTTTGGTTAATATTTTAAGTGGACCTTTAAATATTTCTACTTAAGGAAAAGAATGAAATTCACTTACGTATCCCCATCATCGTCTTGTTGATAGAACTGTTCCCATGCATTTGAGGATGTTAAATTTGGTGTTGTGGGTGTTGTTATAGCAGTTGTATTTCCAGATGCTTGTTGTTGTTGTTGTTGGGGTCTATTTATGCTTGGATTTTGATTTTGATTATAATTGCCAGTTACTAATGTCGGTGTTGAAAGTATAGTACTGGTAGCCGATCTACGCCTAACCGTATTCAAATTATTTATACCACCAGCTATCTGTTGTTGCTGCTGCTGTTGTTGTTGTTGTTGTTGGTGCTGTGATAAATGTTGTGGACGTGGTTGTCCATCTGTATCCAAGCTAAGATTACAAAACCATTCCGACATGCCAGCATCAACATTCTGTTTAAGTATCATTTGATCAGCGGTGTTTGAAGAGGGTATTGCAGTTGCAACTGTTGTGTTTGAGTGTTCGCGTTGAACTTGTTGTTGTTGCTCGCTTATTTGGCGTTTTTCTTCGTTAATTGGCACTTCGTAATCGTCTTCGACAAAATCTTCTTCGTCAATACAGCCCGAGTCCAAAATAACTTTTTCCTCTTCCTTGTTAGGTGGTGGCTGATAATGTTGTTGGTGGGATTTTTCAATAATATTAAATTTTTGTACACCGCCACCACCACTACCACTACCAATAGCGCCTTCGCCTTCGTCTTCGTCAATTGATGATTGCGTCTGTGGTCCAGATATAAAACCAGAATCGCCTGATTCTGTTACTTGAGCGTTGGCACTATCCAATTCTTTTTCCTTTTTATAAGCTCCTTCGTTGTCTTCAAATGTTGTGGCTATTGTTGATGTTGATTTCAGATTTGCATCAAATGTGGAGGACGATGGTTTTTTACTATTAGATTCAAATACATTCAATTGGTGTTTTTGATATTGTTGTTGTTGTTGTTGTTGTGGAGTAGTATCAGTAGCTACTCTACTACATCTACAATCTTCTAATTCTTCCTTTTTCTTATTATCACTTGTTGTTTTTGTTGCTGAGCTCGACATTTTGTTGTTGTTGTTGTTTAATTTTGATTTTTGGTATTTTTTTTATTTTGAAATTAATAAATTATTTCTTAATAACAGTTTTTATTTAATTTATTTTTTTTTTTTGTATGTAGATATTTCACAGTTATTTTAGCAATTAATTAATTTATAAAGCACACACGAAGAATTATTTAAGTTCCTTGTAATATTTGTAATATTTGTAAAATTTGTTTTTAATAACAAACTTTTGTAAATTGCACTTTAGATGGAATTTTTCCTATAGAAAATAAACAAATGAATTAGAAATAAGTTTTTTGCCTTCTGTTCGAATTTCTTGTATTGTTGCCGCTCTTATATGGAAGCAAGTCTCTTTCTTATCAGTGTTGTTTTTAATTTGCGTTTGCGTTTGTGTTTGCTTCGAGGCGAAACACTGTAAGCTACGACGATGTGGGAAAGGGAAATTTTTAGCTTAAGAGGAATTTTTTTTTTTTTTCGCAAAATTCACCATAAAAACAAAATTAAATTTTTTGGTTGGTGGGTTTATTTGTCAACTAATGTAAAAAAAACAAAAAAAACGAACTACCGAACGAACGAAACGGTTTGTGTTAAATAAATTGTTGCACCTTCGTCGCGTATTTGTGAGACACTAACGTTGTTTTTAAAGTCTCATAGTATTTATACAAAATGACTAAACTAATCGATGTATTAACATTCTCAGAAATAAGGGATGAATTGTAAGCCGACTATGCTGGAGAGTATACCTAGCGCATGTGTTTCGAGAGATGAAAAAAGGTTATTTCACTGCACATGCGTGCCGGAGACATATTTATGCGCTTAACATTTTATCAATTTAAAGGTCGTCAATTTGGTCGAAAATAGGAATTTCCATATACATTTATTTCTGAAAATACTCTAGGGTTCATGATTTTAGCCGTACTTAAGAAATTCCATGTATATGTGGAAATATCTTAATCTATTATATTATTGTTTACAAGACATTAGTCTAGACTACATATTCTTTCGTTTCATTTAATATACAATACTTATATATTAATATATATATATATATATATAGATATATAAAAACAATAAGAACAGCAGAACACTGATGGATTCACAGTTCTAGAAGTGTTGAAAGAAAACAAACTAGTCCTAATTATCGATCATCCTAATCCTAATATCACATCTTAACAGATTGAAGTATACTGAAATTAGTCAGTGAAATGGTTGGTACTCTGCAGAAACCCACCAGATATCAAAGAATAAAAGTGCTCACATGCATTAACTCTAAAAAGGCTTCAAAACTTGATTAATAACCAATTAATAAAGTGTGTATTAGAAGTATTTAAAATATTGTCAAGTGAACTTTAAAAAACATTGAAAATTACTCACAATAGACCTTCATTATTTTTTATACCCTTCACAATAAAAGATGTATATAAGATTTGTCAAGATTTTTGGAACGCATTGAAGTAAACGTCCTAGATCTCTAAAAAGTGATATATTCTTGATAAACTCAAAAAGCTCAGTTCATTTAGTCATGTCCGTCTGTCCGTATGTCTGTTTCATTCTAAACTACTCTCTCAATTTTCGAGCTATTCTAACAAAATATTGCACACAAAATTTTCGAGAACAGGCTCTGATTGTTTGACGGATTGACCTAAAGTGGACCCTTAAATTCTATAACTGCAATAATAACTGAACAAGCGGAAAAGTGTTTTCGTTTTGGTACAAAATTTACTTTTATTAATATAAGAAAATACACAAAATTTAATTTATATCGAAAAAGTTTTTATTAGAAAAACTTTATTTCTTTTTCAATATATATACTAAAAATTTGGAACTTACGCATTATTTGTAAAGTGCAACTAATGCAATAAAAATGGGGGTCATCGGTTTAAATTTATATATAAACCATCGCATATAAACCAACAGTTTAGGAAAGTGTTTATCTTAAGAAGACTTCTCACTGTTTTCATAGATTCGCTTTTAATTTAGTACATTATTAGTACTTTATTTAGTGCTATAAATGGGAATATTTGTGGATAAAAATAATATCAATCAATATTAGATTTAAATATGGTTATTTTACATGTTATTACTTTAGATTTATCCTATGCTATATAATGTGTACTGTCATAGTCACATCAAAGTTTCTTCAACCTTAATAGCTAACGAATTATAAAAGTGCACTAAAACTTGATTGCAAATTTTATTGATATTATTATATATCATATTATATACATTTTATTATAAAATGTATAAAATATATTGTATATTATCATATAAAAGCGATCTCAATGCAGATTTAAAATTTTTTATAAAGGATATCTACACTTCGGCAAAGGCAAAGCTAACACCTTTAATTTGTTTATGAAGTGTATTCTATATAATACATTCTATATAAATTAAATACTTATTTTTTTGAAATAATAATTTATTAATTTTATAAGAATTAAAAGCTAGAGTTTAAATTTTAATTCTTGAATTTTATTCCAAGAACGGTCAGTTTTGCGTCCCGGAACTAACCGTCTTAATAGGCGATCACGTGCCGTTCATTCCTACAAACAAAGTCAAGAAAACAAGTCGGTACATTTTGGTTACAACAACAAGAATTAAATAAATTTCTCATACAAACAATTTCATAGGGGAAATTGTGACATCGGAAAGTCATTTCAAGTCAAAATTTCCGCTTTTCTACTTTAATGGGACTTAAATACATATTTAATCGGAAATCTAATGAACTGTAAATTTCTTTGTATAAATGACAATTGAATTTGTTTTTTATAATAATTATATATTGTATTGTTTACAATAAGCTACATATGGGCATTTCCACAGAAAGTTCAAGCATTACTAAAAGAGAAAAAGTTTCCGGAAAAAAATTTTTTCTATTGTTATCCAAGATAAATTCACAAATTTTATACTGAGTTTTCTCAATTGTTAAAGTAAATAAAACTGGTTAAAAAAAAATGTTTTCTTAAACTCTAATTTATTTTTACTCTATATTATTTTTTAGACTTTAAATGCTTTTCCTACGATTTATTAAAATGAATGGATGGATGTGAATGGATAAGTTGTATTACAATTCTACCATATAATGCCAAAAGAGCAAAAGAACAATATTAATTGTTGAATGTATACTTAAACTATAAATGATTATATATATTTTATAAAATAAAGCATAGAACATTGTCTATATTTATCAAACCTATTACGAAGATATATTGTTTAAAAACACTTTTGCATAATCTCAACTTTTTTTAATTTTTTTTATGTACTTGATATATATTACCGCCTTATATTGACTAATATCTTGAGAACCTTAGAACTGCACTTAAAAGTCTACATAAATTATTTATAGTGCTCTTTATATACTAAACAACTACTAAATAAATTAAAAAAAAAATACACATTTTGCTAATGTTTTCCGTCACATTATCGGTATGCGACTATCGCATCCGTACTCATGGAAATGCCCATACGCTTATGATTTACGTGTTGTACGCAAGTTTTTTGATAAGTAAATGCTATATTATATTCTCAAAATTCAGATATGTAGATTCAGCGGGTTAGTTGCACCCGTCATTTTTCACAAAATATTACCAAATTAATTTGAATATTTATTTTTTTTACGAGGCAGGTGAGATAGTCTATTACTTTGATAGAGCAAAGTAACAAACAGAATGCTACAAGTAGTAGTTGAAAATCTATATGATTAAAGATCTATATGGTAACGATCAAATGAAATGTTTACATAAATACTGTTCCAGGTAAAAGAAGTTCCTCACACACTTCACTCTATGTTAATAACTTAAATACTAAACGTAATTAAACTCTTACATTCGAAAGCAAGTAACAAATACATATATGCACAATATAATATTAAGATAATTTCAATCATCTAACAAATACAATTTAAGTGATTTATATAGACAGTTATTAATGTTTTTGTACCCCAAAGAGATCCGTAAGCAAGAGACATGAAAAGAATTACAAAATATGAATACGTGGGTTAAGATTTAAATTAAGTAGGACGTGAGTAAAAAGAAGAACTAAAAAAAAGATAGTTTTGGATCAGAATTAGTTGAGGGGTAAGTAGATTTCAATTAAAAATAGACTGGGTTGAGACCCATGCCACTTCAATAGAACAGAACCAGAGATAAATAGAACTCAGATTGGTGTGTGCATTTGGATATGAAAACGATATTACATGGCGTAGAGACGCAGTTAAAGTATATATTTGGAATTAACATATTTTTGCATGACAAGTAACTGTTTAATATCATAATGGATTATTATTTGGCCTCAAGTAGGCTTTGGGCGCAAAGACGCCACTCCAATCAAATCTAATTGCAGACCACAGCAACAACAACCTTACCTAACTGTTTAGCACATGACTATACTCTGATCTTAATTGAGCTAGAATAGTTATTGCAGCTCGAATAAAGAGTCGTTTATTTTTGGAAATATCAAGTGAAGGTCTATTAAGAATTTATTTAATATGCAACTACTGTCACAAAAAATTACTTAATCTGTTTAGAAGACTAAACTGATGGTGTAGCTCACTAAAAGGTCTACTGTTTTATTGTTGAAAGGCAAAACAAATTGAAAGATAATTTAAATCAAGCTTAAGCGAAACTTAAATGACGTTTACACTGAATAAACACTTATTACACTTATTAAAGAAATTTTCCCAATAACCACATAACTAAATGTCATCTATCGAAATCTAAACATAGCTCTTCTATATTAGTACCAATATAGTATATACTATATATAAGACTAAAATAAAAATTTTGTTAAAAAGTCACATAAATAGAAACAAAAATTCCTTTCACAATAATTTGTATCTGATCTTTCAGTTTATATATAGTAAGTAAATATATATAGTAAGTTGCTATTCTTGATATTGAAAACAAGTGTTTATTTTATTTAATCATAATTATGTACCATTTGAAATAAAATTCATCACATTTAAGTTCTACTAAGCTTTAAATAACAACATGATTTCATAAATAAAGAAGAAAATTCAGTTTTGTTTCCTGAAATTATGAAGCAATAATGG